AGCAGCCTTTTCTGACTGTGGTGGTGACTTCTGCTGCAACGCTGCTGCTCTCCAGAATATCTGAAGCAGCAGGCGTGAGCCAGAAAGAGAAAGTGTGTGAGAGAGTGTGTGTGTGTGTTAATATATAATATCTCCAAACAACCGAGATGAGTTCACCTGGAGAACATGGCTACTTTGGAGGGTGGACTCTGTGGCCTCATGTCCTGCTGAGGTCCCTCCCCTTTCCAAATCCCATCCCCGAAACCTCCAGGTGTTTCCCAACGTGGAGCTGGCAACCGTACCTTGGTGGCAGAGAGAAAGAAGAAGAAGGAGATTGGATTTATACCCCGCCCTTCACTACCCAAAGGTGTCTTAGAGTGGCTTACAAACTCCTTTCCCTCTGACAGAAACTGCTCTTTTTAAAGAACAGCTGTGCCAGAATTATGGCTTGCCCAAGGTCATCCAGCCAGGTGCAAGTGGAGGAATGGGGAATCAAACCCGGTTCTCCCAGATTAGAGTCTACACACTTAACCACTACACCAAACTGGGGGTATTGGGTTGGGGAGAGAAAGAAAGAAGGGGAAGGGGAAAGAAGCAAAAGTGGGAGAATACCACCTCCCTGCATGTTTTTTTTGGTGTCCCCACTTCTGCAAGCCCCCCTCCTTCCTTCCCCTCCAACTATTATCACACTTAACCTTTTAAATGCCAAGGTGGTAAATACCAGCTGCAGTGGTCTCTGATGCACAGGGTCGCTTTGAACATTTTCTGCTGTGCCCAGTAATTCCCACCCCCTGCAGTCTGCGGGAGATGCTCTGTGATGCCCCCTTAATGTCTTCCATATCCCTTGGCCTTATAGAGATATAAAACAAAGCACAACCCATTACGCAACATTTTGTTGCGGGTCCCCTCTTGTCTGTCTTAAAACTTAAAAAAAAAGAATCTATGTAAGGAACTACAACATTATGAAATCCAGGTTTGTTGTATGTAACTCAAATTACTTCCTAGACAAAAACTATTCTAGAGCTATTAAAACATTACTTTAGGGTCCCCTCTTGTCTGTCTTAAAACTTAAAAAAAAAGAATCTATGTAAGGAACTACAACATTATGAAATCCAGGTTTGTTGTATATAACTCAAATTACTTCCTAGACAAAAACTATTCTAGAGCTATTAAAACATTACTTTAACTTGCACATCTCACCATTAAATCTTGCTTTGGCATTTTGACATAGACATCTATGCGTCCTCTGTCTTGTGGGCAGATGTCCAATCGGCCACAAAAGGGAGAAACTGTCACAGTTCGGCCCACTGGCAAGATGGGGAGGCCATTAGTTAAGCCACCATCAATCCATTTCTACTGGAAAGTAAAACTGGAATTAGTATTCAACACAGCTCATTATTCTGGCTTTATATATCTTCTGCCAATATGTTTTCGAACTGCAAGCAACAGAACAGATTATCATTCAGAAGTGTCAGGACGGATAATTTCCTGTTACAAACTTTCAAAACAAATGCTATGTTTTGGGGATACTGATCAAAAACAATCTTGGGCTTCAACCATTCCTTTTCGTGAATAACAGCCTCTCTTTTTCCTAATTGCATGGCTAGTCCTGAGCTCTGATTTTTCCAAAATACATTTCCACTTCATTGTACCTGAAGAAGTGCGCGTGCACATGAAAGCTCATATCTTGAATAAACCTTTGCTGGTCTTAAAGGTCCCACTGGACTCAAAATTTGTTCAGTCAAATATCTGACTGTGACAGTTCATAATAATAAAGTATAATCTGGTCTCAGATGAAAAGCCTGTCTTCCTTATTCTTTATACGCCGTTTGCCATAAAACCCCAGAACTAGTTGTCTTTTTGGGAGGAAAATTGTTTTATATATCAATATTTTCTGGACAATATTATAGCAACAGAGAGTTTAGTTTAACAAGGTATCTCAACTATGATAAACCCTACCATGTCCCTTACACAAAAGTTCTGGAGAGAGTTTTTCTTTAGCTGTACTTGCTCTGAATCAACAAATGTAGAGGTGCCCGGTACAAACATGCTGGCCCCACCCCCTGCCTATGCATGACGACCAACTGATGGGGCCTGAACTTACGGGAAGAATAACTTTACACCAATGGAGTCTGTTCCCACAAATGGAAGTGCTGCTTTTCAAGCATTCCTGATCAAAGGGAGTGAGCACACATGTGTACACTTTCTTCATATGTAGACACTGTGCTCACAAGCCAGACATCCCTTGGCTGGGGACATGGCCAACACAACTGTGCCCATTTCGCCTCCATGTGTGTTGATTCAGGGTGAGTACAGGTTACATATGGAGGAATAAAAAGTCTTCTCCAGGTTCTTTGTAGTAAGCCATTCATTACCGGGCTTACTATAGAGTGAGATGTTTATTTTGTTAGTGGAATAAAGAACACAATGGCACTTCCTTAACCCACTGAGAAGCTGAGCCTCTTCTGGATCATTCAGATGATGCGGTTATTTTCAGCGTCAGTACTGCTTTTACACATTATGGTTAAAATCTGGGTGCCAATCGCGGCAAAGCAAGTTTTCAAGGCTGCTGTGCTATAAAGGTGATGTATTATTTAAGCCTGTTACAGGTATAGAAGCTCTCTCCTATACGTCATCTGATTACCAAATTTTCAGTTTTGGAAAACACAATACAACTTGTAAAATCCAGAAAATAGAAAAGACCTCTCCATTGTAGTCCACTGCATTGATTCCTGCATACAACGGAATAAAACTGCTGGCTAGAAGAGCCTACAGAAGGGCAAACAAAAAAGTCAAAATATTTTAATTAATAATTTTATTCATTTTAACCCATTTTTCAAATAATGCTACATATGCACTTCTAAATGGCTGAGTTAAACATTTTTGACAATAAATTGCTTGTATATTGGTACACCTCCTTTCCTCTGCAACTTTGACCAACCATGTTGGGTAATTATTTGCATTAATTATATTGCTCTAGGACTACTCATTCTGGCCTGGGTCTCGTTTTCTTTCTATAACATATTTAGAAATGTGTGTCTCATGAATCTGTTGCCTCTCATGAAAAGGTCAGCTCTGTAACCACAGTTACCTGCCTTGTCTGATGAACAACGGCCCTCCGAACATCCTGTTCCATCCTCAGCCATTTGAAAATGTGCCTTTTTAGCACTAGATAATGAGCAAGGCCTTAAAACACACCACAGCTCTTGAAAGTAGCCTAATTTTCAGTAAAACTGTGCTCTGAAAATAACACACTGGATGGTCTAAGCCACTTCAAGGAAAGCCATAAGAACTAGTGGCATAGCAAGGCTATTTTGCACCCAGGGCAGATCATTAACACCCCCCTCCTCTTTGTTTTTGTTTTTGTTTTGCTGTCAAGGCACAGCTGACTTACATTGACCCAATAGGGTTTTCAAGGCAAGAGACGTTTGGAGGTGGTCTGCCATTGCCTGCCTCCGCGTCGGCCCTGCTTAGCTTCTGAGATATGACGTGGACAGGCTAGGCTGGGGCTTTGCAGGTCAGGGCCCCTCCTCTGTCAAAATTATTTTCAGTAATAATCATGAAATAAAACGAATAGTAATAATGGGCAGAAAAAGAAAGGCAGACAGTGAAAATTTTATTTAACCATGTATGTAATCATGCCAGTAAATTCAATTTCCATCATGCTATTTCATCATGAGAGCCAGCATGGTGTCGTGGTTAAAGTGTTGGACTAGGATCTGGGAAATCCAGGTTCAAATCCCCACTTGCGCCATGGAAGTTTGCTGGGTGACCTTGGGCCAGTCACATTACTCTCAGCCTAACCCTGACTTGGATATAGCCCCAGGAGAGTCTGATCTCGTCAGATATCAGAAGCTAAGCAGGGCTGACGTGGAGGCAGGCAATGGCAAACTACCTCCGAACATCTCTTGCCTTGAAAACCTTACAGGGTCGCCATAAATCAGCTTGAGTTGATGGCAAAAAAATAATAATCCATCACACCACTCGTGTTCTCAACAGACACTTGAGAGGGCTTCTGTTCTCCATTTAGAAGCCCAAGAGATGACCACCCCAACCATCTACAAGACATTTTTGAGAACTAAGAGTTTGCCTTTATACTAACTTTTACTAACTAACAATAGCCAAGGCATCACAAAATAGTGATCACAAGCTTCACCAGACTGGATGTTAAGAAACATACTACCCCCCAAAGAAGGGCCCCCCCACCCTCCTTTGTTTCCAAAGGACTAAAGTCAACCCAGAGAATCTCTGCAGTAGAGACTGAAGGGGGTGGGGCATTTTTACAGGCCCAGCGGAACCAGTGCAATGTACAGAGTACCCAGCAGGACCAATGCCATTGTGGCAATGCCAGCTGATATTAAACACAAAATCACAGTCCAAGTGGGGAGGGGGGGTTGGAAGCCCAGCAGAACCAGTGCAATGTACAGTGCCCAGCAAACCCACTGCCTTCTGTTCATAATATTAACAAAGGTTTGCTACTATACTACTCTTCAATACATTCTGTCACCAAGCAGGATAGGGATGAGAAGGTCTTGAAGCCAAAAAGTGAAAGGGGGGGGGGGGGACAGAAAACATTAGTGAAGGGAAACAGAAATTAGAACTGTGAGAAAATGAATACTACTCTTAAATACATTCTGTCACCAAGCAGAATAAGGATGGCTTATGGCAGGGCCATAAATTAGGACTTCCTTAGGTCCAGATAGTTCAAAGGAACCTGGCTTTGATGTTGATGCAAATCTGTGCTGAAGCCTCTTTCACCGCATGGCTCTCCTTCACCAGACTGAAATGATGACTCCCTACAACTCTTTATTCCTTTTATTCTGCCTAATACATGAACCTCTGTCTTGGCATTCAGATATCATATTGTTTGGGAGAAATGCCCTGTTTACGTACACATACACGCATTAAATGGATGAGGAACTATTATTTCTCAAGGAATAAATAAGGGCCCAGTTATTAAGGTTAGGATAAATAATGGGGTCATGCTGTTTGCAGTTTAAACATGTCAGCAATCCTTCTAAAGCAACACAGTTGCTCCAGTGAATAAAACGAAGAGAAGGCCACAGTTAATAAAATCCAAAGTCTTGGACCCTGGAGACACTCATGCATTTTCATTTATAGAAGTGATATGCAAGTCTCCCACCTTAACAAGATCCTCCCTGGAGGCAAAATTTGAAAGCAAATGATTTTTTCCATTTTTAGCACTAGTGACTGATATAAAGAGGCGATTTTCTGCTATCTCATGAGCATTGGGAGGGAGAATTGAATCAATGCTGCCCCTACAGAAAAAGAGAATGATAAACATTAGTCAGCCTTAATAATTAAACACTTTCTAAATAATTTAGACGGGAAAGAATGTTCCCATCTTCTCACACTTATTGCAAAGAACCATCCATACAGAATCTCCTCAGCAGCATTTATTTGGGGTTTCACATAAGTTCAAGAGGGTACTTACCAAAAACCTACCTAAGTTTTGTCATAAAATCATAGCCTGGTGTCAGTGCGCCCAAATACTGTTTCCTAGTTTCTTCTGCAAATGAATGTGTAACTTTTATACATTCCTGAAATGTATACACACAAAAAAAAGTTTATCTCAGACAGACAATTGCTTATTTAAAATATGTTAAAATGATTACTTGTAAATTCCGGGGGGGGGGGGAGTCACAGAAATGTCATACCCACCCCTGACCTTCTGCTGCTGACCTAAATCTCCCTGTCAACTGAATGCAATACTTTGTGCATCTGAAGAAGTGGGCTCTGGCTTACAGAATCTTATGGCAGAATAAATCTCTTGGTTTTAACGGCGCCACAAGACTCTCTGGGTGTATCAGACTAACACAGCTATATTACCTCCCTTGTGCACTCTGAGACACCTAATGGCCATGCACACTCCTGTTTTAGCCACTGCCTAGTCATTAATAGAATCAGAATAAAATCAGAAAAATCAGAATAAAAATGGAAACATGAGTCCTGAAAACAACTAGCAAAACGGATTTGTTTAAACTCCATCTCCATCATTAATTTCAACTTACAGAGCACTAGGGATGCTTGAATACCCATCTGTATGGCCCACATCCTGTTTGTCAGCCACACACAGGGAGCTGAATTTTCAATGATCAGTTTGACTGTTTATTGATCCATTCATGGCTGTTTGGCATGCTGCTTCACTGTATAATACAGAGCAGCTGGCTTTCCGTGTGTTCTCCTTCTCGTACAGGCCTATTAAGTTCTACGACCCTCTTGCTCTTGCTGTGCAACTGCTCCACTAAGCAGCCAACTGTTTAAATAGACTACTAAATCAGTCATAAATAAATGCCATGTTTTAATAAAATCCTACCCTTTGGTGTTCATCTAAGTAGCCCCTAATGATGCAAATGGCTGCCAATCAGTTTAAATCGGTGATGACATTGCACACGGGCATTGCAAAAACCTGATACATGTCTGTCTGGCAGGCACTCATTGACAGTACATTCAACAGTCAAACATATTTCTAGAGAAATCTGCAGCACCCCCTACACAGAACACACTGCCATCATACTTCTTAACAAACCACAGCGACCACAAGGATTAGAGGTGTATCTATTAACAAAATGTCAAAAGGATATTTGCCAAAGTAGCCAGAGCTTACACCTTACAAAAATGGCTCAGTAGCACCTTGTTCGGAATATCACCCAGTTGTCGCGATCTCACATTTCTTGACTTCTGTAAGTGCATTGTGTCTTCTGTGTCTTCTGTCAGTGCATTGTAAACATTTCCTATTACATACAGTGAACATTTTCCACTGATAAAGTAGGCTTGCCAAGTCCCACCGGGGGGCGGGGAAACCCCCGCCCGAGAGGCCCATTACCCGCCAGCAGCGGATCGGGCCCCGGGGGGTACCCCACCCCCAAAGCACGCAACGTGCCCGGCGTCAGCATGTCACCCGGAAGTGGTGCAGTCGCGTCGGGGGCGGGGCCATGGTCATCCGAAGGAAAACTCTGTTTTTCCCTCGGATGATTGTGGCCCCACCCCCGGTGTGTCCAATGTGGTTGTGTCACTTCCGGGTGACGTGATTGCGTCACGCACGCACGGACTCCCGGAGCAGCACTGGAGTCCCCCGCTCTACATGCAGTAAAGACTTGGCAACCCTATGATAAATACAATGGAAAGCCCTGTTCCTTGGGCTTTGTATACGTATATTGGAGATGGCTATTATATACAGAACAGAATTCTTCAGTTGTGTCTAACTTGACTAGAGTAAACCCAATGGAGGAGGAAGATTTCTCACACTATAAAATTTGTAGGAACTGAATATATGTGATAAACTTAAGATCCTTCCAACAAGTGAGAAAGTTGGGTGAAACCAATCAGCCACTTTGTTTCATTAGCATACAGTTCTACTATTAGGTCTTTCACAACAGGCTTTCTTAAAAGTAAACCCAATATTATTCTTACTTATAAGAATCACTATTTTTACTCAGAATGTTTAGCACCACCTGAAATTCTACATAATGAAAAGCACAGAGCTGAGCAGGAAACTGTTTCAGATCCTTCATGAGCAATGAAACCCTAGAATATATTGAAAGAACCATGCCGATTTAAATCACAAAAAACTGTGGGTGGCAATTTTCAGTTATTTTTAATGTCACAGGCTAGAAGTTGTAATTTACTAAGACTGCTTTAATGCTCATAAAAATGCAAAATCAGCTTAAACAGCTGCAGATGACATATGGGCAATATCTACAGCACTGAAATTTAAGAGAAAATATTAGTTGAACAGGAGTGATTCCTATCCAGTGACTTACAAAAGCCTTTCGTGTGTAAGGGGTTGAACAATGCTACTGGTAGTGGTACTTGGGGGACATAACACACGGGGATCAAGTGAGCTAGAATGGAGTTTTCTAGCATCAAATGAGAGATGATGTATAATTAGAACTACACTAGAAGAACTAAGATTCAGTTCAGTCGGAAGGAACTAATGGAAAAGAACATTGCTGTGTAGTATCTTAAACAAGATGACAATTATTCTGAATTGTCTAGTCATAAAAGTTGTTAGCGTTCAATGCTATCCTGCAGTACACAGCTAATCAGGGATGATCATGTAATCAGCAAGTTCTATTTCTGAAGGGGAAATTTTTATTCCACTAATGTAGACAATTATTTCAACCTCAACTTCTGTCCAACTCCATCATATTTATGTTCTACCAAGAAAAAAAAAGTATATGGGAAGGAACGTTTAAAAATTAAAACATTCATCCAAGTGTATATTCATTCCTTTAGAAGTAAAGAACAAGAACCATGGTTGGTTGTGTACCTGCTTTATTTGCAGTTTTTAAAAGCAAGGATATCTGAGACAGTAAACAAACTGCTCAGAATATTCAAGATTATGGCACATGTGATTGAAAACTCTGCAGAAATAAAAAGGAACAGTCACTCTGTAATGTTGTTATAACCTTCATGCCACCACTTTTTACCATAAAATGGGGCAGTAGGTTAAATATTTTATTTCTTGGCTCCATCATCAACCAAAAGGGAGACTGCAGTCAAAAGGAGATTGAGAGTGAGAGTGGGAAGGGAAGGGAAGGGAAGCCATGAAGGAGTTAGAAAAGATTCTTAAGTGTAAGGATGTGTCACTGGCAACCAAGATCAAAATAATTCATGCCATAGTATTCCCCATTACTATGTAGAAGTGTGAAATCTGGACAATGAAGAAAGCTGTCAGGAAGTGGTGTTGGAAGAGAGTTTTACAGATACCACGGACCATCAAAACTACAAATGGACTCTACATCAAATCAAGCCTGAACTCTCCCTAGAAGCTAAAATGACTAATCTGAGGCTATCGTACTTGGGTCACATTCTAAGCAGTCACTGGAAAAGACAATAATGCTGGGAAAAGTTGAAAGCAGCAGGAAAAGAGGAAGAACCAACAAGAGATGGACTGACCCAATCAAGGAAGCCAGAGTCCTCAGTTTGCACAACCTGCCTAAGGCTGTTAACGATATGATGTTTTGGAGGGTCATTAAGCTACCTGGTGGCACTTAACACTACAGCTATAATGGTTGCTTTTTTTCTAAACAAAGACCAAAATCTTTTTTTTAAAAAAAGACCAAATCAAAAAAGAAATATTTTAAAGCGTTTTTAAAAAGACTTATTTGCGAGACATGTTATAGCCGCCGAGCCAAATTTTCCTAAGGAACTACTAGACTCCTTGTCAGCTAATATACATCCTTTTAAGCATGAACAATAAAGTAATTCAGCAAAATTGATAAACTGTGTGTGCAAGTCTCGGAAACACCCACCAGCATGGTCTACTTCTCCATGTATAACCTTTGCAATGCACAAACCACAAGATACTACACAAGATTTCCAACAAATTTGAAACACGCTTTGCACAAATCTGTCCTTTCTACATTATGCTTTTTATCTGGAACATGCCAGCAAAAGGAAGTTGTCTTGTTACAAAGCTCTGACTCTGTTCCTGTCGAATGCAACTGATATCATCCAAGATCCCAGATTTAAGGCAGTATCTCTCGTTAAAAATTGCAGCTCTTTTTTCAATTACCTCTATATTTTCGGGCCCCGTCAAAAGAAGGGTGGCAATCAGAGCTCCTGCAGAAGCGCCAGCAAAGCCCTGCACAGCCTTCAGTAACTTCTTGCCATGTCTGCAGAGAGCAGTTGCTGCCCCCAAGTGGTAGATCCCCAGAAACCCACAGGCTGCAAATGACAAGTTGAGATGCTTCATTCTGGCTGTGGGGAAAAAAAGGGTTGTCGTCATGGAATGGGTCATTAAAGTTTGTTTGTTTTTGCTTCCAACACACTCTCCCTTGTGACATACATAACATAAGCTTAAGCCAACACACTCTCCCTTGTGACATACATAAGCTTACATTCATCAGGACAAGTTTGATTTCGACATGCCAAAATAATTGGAGAGGAATATATACAAAACTTTTGATGTCAGGCTAAAGTCCGGTGAAACGTGAGCAAAATTTCATATTTACACCAATTGACAAGCACGCCTTTACTTTCATCTATTGAAAACATATCAAAATGAATTGATCCAAATAACTTAGATCCAAAACAACGATAATGACATTCCATAGACAGAAATTTGCCTGCATTGCACCCTAAGATTGGGAATTGTAACTGATGAACAGCCAACAGATCTTGATGAGAAAAAGACAGTGAGATCACAGGCCAGAACAAGTAACTGCAGATGACATGTGATTCACCACTGAAAGCTGCAGGCCTACGTATTTCTCTTCTCTTTCCCAGTAACAGTTAGCAATGCCAAATGTGTGACGTGATGTCATCATATTGTGATATTCCCATAAGCAGCAGCCCATTAAGTAGAAATTTTCAATACAATATTTTCACATCACACATTCTGCATTACTAAACATTACAAGAAGGGACAGGAAACAATGCAGGGCTGTTGCTTTCACAGCAGCCATAAAATACAGTTCAAAGCACATGTTTGCCCCGCATTAAAGAAGACTGCTTGTGCTAAAGCATTTAAAAGAAGAAGAAGAAATTGAGTTTATACCCCACCCTTCACTACCCAAAGGAGTCTCAGAGTGGCTTACAATCTCCTTTCCCTTCCCCTCCCCACAACAGATACCCATAGGTGGGGCTGAGAGAGCTCTTCCAAGAACTGCTCTTGAGAGAACAGCTCTGAAAGAGCCACTGACCCAAGGTCACACCAGCAGCTGCATGTGGAAGAGTGGAGACTCAAATCCACTTCTCCCAGATTAGAGTCCGTGCTCCTAACCACTATACCAAAACTAAAGCTCACAACCATGCAGGTGGCTAGCAAAGGTGTTCAAACACCATGATAAAGGATGAGCATTGTTGTAGTATGAAAAAATATGAAAGCTCTTAGAATTTTCAAACATTCACTAAGACTGTGAGAAGTTCCTTGTACTACCTCAGCTTGTTATGATAGAATGAGCTCTGCAAGCACCTCATTCTACCACAGACATGGAGGATGGAACTCACCCGCTTGGCCCAAGTTTCATTAGACTGAGGTCCCTAGATTTTGAGCCTGCAGGCACTTTTGGAATTCTGACATAGGGTAGTGGGCACAATCACAAAATGGCTGCTGCAGGAGGCAGAACAGACCACAGTGTGGTTGAGTGAGGTTATGGCTAACTCTGGTAGTAGCTCTTCAACATTTCAGGCAGAAGCTCTGTTTAATAGGTTGCCTCTTAAAATTAACATACCATTGAAAATATTTTCTGGCATATACACAGAACATATACATACCGAGCTTGCTAAAAAACCCACCCTAATCTGGTAGTATCTGTTTTCATTTTGCAGATATCTAAAGCATTTATGCAAAAGGAAAAGGGGGGGGGGTGCTTTGGATCCTGGCTATCCCATGAGCCTAGCCATTTCCAGCAGGATTCTGGCCAGATTTTGATAGAACATAAATGATTTTTTGAAAAGTGACCAAACTTTGATGTAGTGATGTTATTATCAACGTCCACCTGAATTATAAAAATACATCGAAATTGGGAGGATCTGATGACCTCAGTAGAAGTTCCAGTTAGGTGCATTAAGCATTTCAGCCAGGGAGCCCTGTCATCGGTCAGAAGGGGGGGTCCCACTATGTTTTTACAATATCGCTTCACTATTTGCACGGGTATTTTACATAAAGATACTGTCAGCAATATACTGCGAACATCAGAAACTCAACACGCCCCTCCTGGCTTTCTAAAAGCACCTGGTGGTTGCCAGAAAACATGTTGGAGGGTGCCATAGCGCCCATGGATACACTAGACCCTAATGAAGTATTCTGTTTTCATCCACCATCACGACAGAAATAAGAGCCTCTTGTCACCACTCCCACAGGCCTGTAGAGCTTAGGTCTTCCTGTTCTTGTTTAGGTCTTCTGGAAACTAAATTATCTGTTTCTTTAAATACTCTTTCTCGAATTAAGCTCAGGCTGTCCCTAGCCACGGATTCTAAATGTACCTGGATTCAGGGGAAACCTTAGGAATCTAGTCTGTTCTAGTAATTCAAATCCAGACAGGCGTCTCTGCATGATTTTTATATCTTCGTAAGGATGGACTGAGTTAGGCTGCCTATTCAGAAAGACCCAATAACATAAATTCCATATAAGGGAAAACATCATTTTAATTGTAATGTAAATCATTAATTTCAATTGAGGAAAATTGTCTGTGTTGGGTGAAGGGGGAATAAAGTTATCAATAAACACAGTCTTTTCTTCCTAGGGCCAGTACTTGTGACTGAATTGAGAGATACGTAGAATAATATTAAAATTGCTATTTTTGTTTCATTCTGTCTAGTTGCACTGATTCTCTCTAGGCTTTCTCATGAAATCATTTTCTCTTCGGCAGGCTCTTTCTTTCCCAGCAATTATGGCATTCCCATCACTCGTCTGTCTTCCTCTACCTAAATACTTCCCCATCCAGACCCCTCACCCCAGGACATCATTCCTCCTTTAAGTACCATAACACATACATCTTCCCTACAATATGTGAAAAATTAGTAGTTTCTTTTCTGCAAAATCTGTGTGAGTGTACTACTCATGAACCCTGAGAGCCCAGGAAGAAACTCTTTGTTCTCTTGGCTGTGTACCAGTCACTAACATATGAACTGCTATCATCCAGGCAAACAGACAGAGCATTAGTGGCAAGATTTTATCTACAGCCTGTGAAGGTGATTTTAGGTAAGCTTCTGAATATTAGCAGTGTACAAATTACACTTCTATCTTTCGAAGATATAATTTTTACAGATAACTGTGGATTAGGTATCATTTCTACCACTGTTACCACTAGATTCACTGTGAAGCCCACTACCTGGTGGCATCAGATGTAAAGAAAGAGAACACAGGTTTGACATTCCTTTTACAGTTCAAATCATGAAAAGAAATGATAACTAAGACAAAAGAGATAAATAGGGTGGGTGAAAAACTGCCATATAAATGGAATCCCTCATATGGTTTTCAGATGCTATTAGCTCTTGGAATACAACAAACTACAAAAGATTCCAATAGCTAAGCTTTCTGCTTACATTACTGAAATCCATTAGAATAATAAGATTTTTAAAATATAATTTTCTCTGTGTAATCCACTTATTTCATAGTCATTTTTGTGTTTTTTTAACTTCCAAATAATATAAAAGAAATGCTGAAACCAATCATTTTGGATTGCATTGTGTGTTCAAGATTAATTACCTAGGAATACAGTAATAGTATTATATTAACAAGGATGCTCACCTCCAGCATGACTGTCCAAGCTTCACTGGCATAAGGCAGAATTATCACTGGAAAGATCGCTTTGGTTTTTGAGTCACAGAGCAAGTTCGTATTACATTATAGGATTCGGGCACTCTAATCACATATATTGGGAGCATACATTAGGTATGATCATCCGGCTGGCATTTTGTGTGACTGGGACAATGCATGTATTTAGCATGCGTGCACAGCTTTGGTATACGTGAAGAGAACCCAGCTTTTTCTGGGAATGTGTTTTTGTATACTGAATCTGTACCCACATGAAAAAGTCCACACATTGCTTCATTCAAAGAAAAGGGTGACCATGCATGGTGGAAGAACTGCACGTAATGCATGCCAATTTTGCATGTGGCTAAAATATAAAACCCTGAATTTCTGAGAAGAACTGAAGTGATTCATTCACGTAATGTAATATCATATCATATTATATTAATACCATTACTAGGGTTGCCATCTACCCCATAATGGCAGTGAATCTCCCCAGTGATGCTCTCTGTCCCCCGCCCTTGCTCACTGGATTGGCAGGAGAAAACAGCACGGGAAGCCACTTACTGTTTCAGAAAAGGAAGTGATGTCATGACTGAGTTTTTTAAAAAAAACTCATGTTTTTACCACACATATTTTGGAATTCCTAGAATGTCATGATGTCCTTTCCTATTTCGAAACAAGAAGAGACTTCCAAGAAGTACACCCCCCCCCCGGCCAATGCTCCCAGGGATTGCCAGCTGAGGGCTAGCATCTGTAACAGTAACTATATAAAGCTACAGACCAAAAAGTGCAGTGTGTGTGTGGGGGGGGGAAATACACTAGTTCATTGTTTCTGTCTTTATGGAAAAGCTACCATTTGAACTTGTGTCTATAACAGATAAGTGCCACCATTCTGTCTTAGTGGACTTCAGTCCCAAGAGTCACAGAGACCAATGTGAGGAAGGCAGCTTTTTGTAAACCTCTAAGCATCAGCAGATACTAAAGCAAATAGTCTAAACTGCAGTTCGCCTAATGTTTTCAGTATTCATTTATTGTCAAGCTTATTTAAGGGATAGAAGTTAGCGTTTTGTTGTTGCAAGGTATAATGTCATAGAGCAGGGCTGGCCAAACTGCGGCTTGGGAGCCTTATGTGGCTCTTTCACACAGCCTAATTTAATGTTAATAAAAAGTAAATTTGCATATTTTTCAATAAAAACATGTGTAATATTTGTTCATGTCTTGCAGGTCTCAAACACCTGATGTTTATTCTATGTGGCTGCTACGTTAAGCAAGTTTGGCCACCCCTGTCATAGAATCCACCCTCCAAAGCAGCCATTTACTCCAGGGGAACTGACTTTGATTGCCTGGAGATCAATTGCAATAGTAGGAGATCTCCAGGTGCCACCTGGAGGTTGGTGACCCCACCGCTCAGGGGAATAGTCACAGACATATGGGTAAAAGCAGTCTTTCAGTCATTCCAGTTCCAGGTTGTTTAAGTGTACAGCCTTGTCTGAGTAAC